AATAAATGTCGTGACCAAAATTCTTTCATCACCTGGTTGTTCAATCCAGAAGCTTTCTTCTCTAATCCTTTCACATCACCTTCACTACTTTCCAAGGCAGATCGAGTTTGTTCCAATTCATTTTGAAGCTAAAATACCAACTCATATTAAAATTGCTCAAAATTGCCCTTTTTATGTTAAAATTAAGGAACAAACCGGTCAAAAGTTAAGCTTGTTTAAAACTAAATTCGAAAAGCATGGCCACTGTAGAAGCTGAAGAAACTGTACCCCATTAACCTGCTTGTTACGCTAATTCAGAAAACATTAATCAATTCAGAAAAACATTATGTTAAAGAAGCAAGACTAGTTTTTGACATACAATAACAGTAGCAAAAAAAGGATGACTTTGTATTGTTCTTGACAAAGACTATGACTACAACACAAAAGAAAGAATTCAGCAAAAATAATTACTTTTGATACTGTAGACGACAACGAGTCCCTTTCATTCTCCAAATCTTTGATTCGCGATTGCTGTTCGCTTATTGAAGCATCAGCAGCCTTCCTTCTTCGGTCCATTTCGGCTCTCACGCTCTGGTTCTGTTCCAACATTGCTACTTTTTCAGCGAGTTCACTTTCCAGTCTATCCTTCGCTTTATTTAACTGCATATACTTGGTTTTAGGAGCGACAGAGTGAAAAAAAGCAAAGTGAATGTTAAAAATTATACAAGTTTGAAACTGTTTGTTTATACCTGCTGCTTCTGCTTAATGACCTGTTCCATCTGCTCATTTAATGCATCCACTTCTTCAACGTGCTTCCGCTTCATTTCTTCCAGGCGTTGTTCCCCTGCTGTAGTTACACTCTCTAACTCTTTCTAGAAATAAATTTTTGCAAAAAAACCAAACCTGCAATTAGTTAAGCCAATAAAACAAAACAGAACTATTTTCGGAAAAAAGATGATATGATATGTCTCATGTACACAGACAATTCAAATGAACCTGAGCTCTTCTGCTTAGATTTATGCATTGATAAATTATTACAGAAACTGCCGGTATTCAGATTTTCAAGAATGATTATTCAGTTTAACAGAGCCACTCATACTGAAAACATTGCTTTTACCGCATTGGAAAGCAAAATGCATAAATCTTTGTAATATTTTTAGTATTTCTTCGTCTTTCAACAAGAGTAATATGGGTAAAAGACTGTTAACACAAGTATGATTCACTATTAGCACGGCAAAAACGCAAATTCTTCAGGCTTCTAAGGGAACAAAAACAATACTTTAAGCACAGAAAACTGTTGTTCACGTTCTGCTCTTAGTTGGTCAGTCGCAAGAGTTTTATCTTGTGTCTCCAACAGCTCCTGTTTTAGAGCCTCTAGTTCCTCAGCATAATCACGTTTCGACTTTTCGGCCTTCTGTCTAAAGTACTGCTTGAAGTGATCAGAATTATTGAACCAGAGAGTTACACAATCTACAACGAAAACTTTAATGAATGCATAAACTAAATAAAATCATAAAGTTACACCTCATTGTTCGTTCATTTTCCAAATCATCTTTAGTTTCCTGAAGCTCCGCAGTTGCCTCTCTAAGTTGTTTGCTCATAGTCTGCGTTTGCGTATTCAGTTCATCACATCTGCAGACGACTTAGTTTATAGTTCAATTAAGATTCGTTTTTGGATCCATTTAGTGAGCATAGGACACAAAGTGACGTACTAACTACAACGACAGTAGAAAATACGGTTCAATCTCCA